ATTATCACATTAACCCTTCTTGGCAAAACCTTAAATATCATTATAACTTGTTAGCCAATGTCTATCATCTAGAAATCAATCCTTCCAACAGGAAAAACCTCATGGAAAAGCACCCCCTTTGCAATTTACTGGATTCCATTAATATCTTTAAGGAGAAAAAAGGACTTCAAGTCAAGGACAAAGGGACGAAAATCTTTAACCAACATGGAGAGCAACCCGAGTCTAAATCCAGTCAACTGACAGAAACAAAGGAACAAACATAATTGCCCCCATGCAACCACCAACCCACATCCTATTTCCTAACATACAGATCAAGTGGAACTCCACATGGGCAATATCCCGGTCATTAACATGCTGTATAACCCTAAAAGACCTAAGAGCAAAATCATCCTCCCTCTACATAAGCGCCCTTAATTTACATAGTCCAGAACAACTACACAACAGTTAAGGGTACTTGTGCTCTTAGAAAAGTCAGTGCGTCTCTGAAATGTCAATGGTGCCTACCAAAATTCAAATATTGTGAAAGAAAATTCAGAGGAACAAACATAATAAAAGAAACCAAAACCAACCACTGGTCCACTACCATAGCAAGCTAAAGTCTTTTTACTATAAAAAATAAATAAATAAAATTAGAAATGATGAAAGTCAATCTTCATAGAATGATATATTTTCAACATAGATGACTAGTGTTGGATGATTAAAATAGACTTACTCTGACAGTGATATATGAAGCTGGAATAAGTCCAATCACTGTTGCCAGAAAGAAAACATGAAATGGTATATCCACAATTGGAGATGCCAGATTGACGAAAAGGTTGGGCAAGGTTGGAGTAATCCTCAAAAAAAGCATGTAATTCAGCAACTTTTCCCTACGCTTTGATATCTGAATCAAAAAGTTTCAATTTAGTATGGGACCAGGAATTAGAGATATTGTGAAAAAATTCAATATATGGTAAATATAAGACAACTGCGATAGAGAACACAAAAAGTACCTCTGCCTGAAAAAATCTCAACTTGTCAGGCCACAACCAGTGAACTATGGGCCTGCCTATTAACTTGGACAGAAAATAGCAAGATGATGCTCCAGCCGTGGCATTAAAAACAACCAAGAAAAGGCCTCTGATAACGCCAAAGAGAGCTCCAGCTAACAATGACATGAAAATGGTGCCGGGAATCATAAATGTCTGCATGAATATGTATGTTGAACAGTATCCCAGAATGAATTTTGCTGGGAAAGCTTTAGCATATGTTGCAAGATGATGCCTGAAACAAAACGCAGAACAACATAATTCAGGGAAAGTATGACACAGTTCAGCATGATCATGAAAACCAGTAGAATTGAAGATCTAGACATCCTTAAATAAATAGATAAAACAAGGTAGTAAAGATCCCTTGGTTGGATTACGTTGTAAAGTTTTTGGATGAAAAAGATAACGAAAATCAAAACCAAATTCACAAAAGAAAAATAAAAAACAAACACTAAGGCCAAAGAACCAAATTCTTGCATGTGTGCTTGGCATGTAAGGAAATTCCTGATTCAATGTTTTCAAGATGTTGTAAATTATTCTTAAAATCGGAAAAAAATTTCAATTAGATGGTCCATAACATGTAATCATAATAGTGATAATAAGTTAAAATAGGTTTCTACATCCCTATTCATCATTTCAACTCAGATATAGCCATTGTAGGCCCCATTCTATGAGGGCTCTCCTTCCAAGTCTCTTTGTATTACCTGCATTGACTTTAAAAGGTATTTTATACTTGTCGGAGGCCATATAAGATAACTTTAACAAACCAAAACTATAGATAGGACAATCTAGTTACAATATTGTCTAATGAACAGGAAAAGATCTTTTCAAGATTTACAACTGCCATTACTTGCTCATTTCTCCAGATTTTGAAGCCATGAGCTTCAAAATATATCAATAAATTGGATACAAAATCTGTATGATCTTTTCTTTTCCTTTTATGTCCTTTTGTTAACTCTTCCACTCCCTCCCCCAATCAAGGTAGAACCAGAAAATCAAATATAATAAAGCTTAGCATAATGGAGCCAGCCCCCAATGAAACTAGCAAGCATTTAAATCAAGTCAGTTTTACTTTTTCCATTTTTTTTTTTAATCCTCTATCCTTAGTTTGATTTAGAATAATGGCTATGATTTGTTCCTGTAGTTTTCAAGTTAGTTCTTGGAACCACAATTTTCTGAGGCATTAGATTCTCATAAATGTTCATATTACTCAAGCTGACATTTTAGGGTTGTCTTTGTTTAAATATCTGTTTTATTATTATTTTTTATTTTTTTAGCTGTTTTCAGCCTTTTTGTTAGGTGTTTTATGTAAGATCTCAATTATCATAGATCACATAGATAAGATCCCCGTAATCATGGGATCACGTAGATAAGATCCCCGTAATCATGGGATCACGTATATTTTGACATATTTCATGTTTTTCTTTGATTTGGTTTCCCTTCTTTGTATCCTATTCTTGTACATAAATATAACTCTTGGCTCTCGGTTTGAGTAAGCCAAAACCCAAAACTACTTATTTTTGGTATCAGAGCAAAACAAAAACCTTCGCCTCCCCAACACCGCCATCTTCTCTCTCCCTCTCTCCATTTTTCCTCAACTCCAGTGCACCTCCATCTCCTCCCAACCCTTGCGCCGGACCCCTCGGGTAACCCTCTGTTTTTTAATCCTTTTTTAGGATAATTCCCTTAGGTTTTTTATGACCTAAGGGTCCTTCTGGCCTTTTTTTTTTTTCTTTGTGGGCTGCCGGTGTTTGTTCGGTACCATATTTGGAGGAAAGCGCGTCGATTTTTCTGCCCTTGTTTTTTTTCTCTTTCCTCCTGCTTTCATGTGTGGATTAGCCTTATTTTGGTAATATGACTGATTCTAGTAGCCAAAATGACACTTTATCCTCGATCTAGCATACTTTATCTTCGGCACATCATAATCCGACATAGCGGGTTACTAGTGTGCTCTTGAATGGGCGCAACTTCGTATCTTGGTCCCGTTCTCCTCAACTCTATATTGGAGGGAAAGGAAAAACTGGTTGGCTTTTGGGTCTAGTCAAGGAACCGAAAAAGACGAACACTAAATATATTGCATGGGATATGGACAGGTGCACCATCCTGGATTGGATCTTCAACTCAATGGAGGAGCGTATTTATAATATGTTCATGTTTCACACTTCTGTTTTTCGTCTGTGGCAAACCCTTAACAAGATGTATGCTCGTTCCCGCAATGATGCTCGTATCTTTGAACTCTATCAGGAGATTGCTCATGCATCTCAAGAGACACTCAAGCTCTCAGTATCAAAGTATTTTGGGTACCTCTAGTCTAGGTGGGAAGAATTAGCATAGTATGAACCTCTCTCCGATTTCTCTGAAGAAGCTGCAACTCTTTTGGTCAAGAGACTGGACCGCCAGCATACCTACTAGTTTTTTATAGGTTTACGATCTGAGTATGATGCTCTTAGAATTCAGATCATAAACCCCTCTCCTATGCTTGATTCATACGATGCCTTTGCTACTGTTGACCATGAGGAGCCTAGACGTCAGATCTCTCAGCCAGTAACTTTACCAAAGACTAGTAGGTATGCTGTGGGGGGTGTGTTATGGTGTGGGGTGGGTGTGGGGGGTTTGAGGTTTGAACAGCTTCTTCTTGCTGCTCCAGTCATTACCATAATCATTAACTATAGCTTTTTCATTGCAATTATTGTGGCAATAAATATAGTAATGGAAATTGTTCTTTCCGTTTGTCCTTTTCTAGATGCTATAAGTTATTGATATGTTGATTTTGCTTTAGATGCTGGAATCAGCTCTAAATCATCTGCTTGAAGGACGCCACGTCTACGATAAAACAACTTCGGATTCTTTGACAAACGACAATCCTGAGGTCTATGCTAAATTTTGGAGTCAATTGCAGATGCTGTTGAAGAAAATGCTAGCCACGGCACTTTCCACAAGTACAAACAAGTCTTCTCTTAATCCCCAGCCAACTCCATCTAATCGATCTGGAGACGTTGGAAAGCTCAGGGAGCTTTACAAGATGTCTTTGAAGACCACAGATCTCAGTCAGCTGCATGCTATGCACAGCTTGTGGACATCCTAATCAGAACGGCTTTTACAGTTCACACTTCATTTCTAAAATCTTCTGCCATATTTATTATATTCAAAATGTTCGTTCTATGGTAGTGTATGGTTTCTCCGCTTATAATCGTCATTTTGCATGATAGCCTAAAACCAATTTGGGAATAGGAGGATCTTGGATTCAGAAGATTTTGAAGATGAAACATGTGACATTTTATGTTGATACGCAGTTTTGATTATGAAATTTTCTGTATAAATGGGAAGCACAAGACTTATGATCTTGGATGCATGGTTCTGTTGGCTATCTGAGGTTCATGTTCAATGTAAATGTTATTGAAATCTTAGTATGTGGACATTATTTTCTTCCCTTCCTTTTAGCATGTGTGTGTGTGTGTGTCTCTCTCTCTCTCTCTCTCTCTCTCTCTCTCTATATATATATATATATATATGTATCTATCTATCAGGATTAAACATTTCAAGGTTATTCCCCTAAATGGGTCCAAATAAAGAAATTGCTTTTTTGTATCAAGAATGTGTGAGATTGACTAAAATTTAAATGGTGGTATCGGGTCTCTTAGAACACCTCGTGGGTTATCACGGGACACGAGATTGACTAGCTTCTAATCTATTTTGGGACCAAGTTCTAATAGAAAACTACACAACAACATTTGCTTGATTTAGAGTCCGATATTTCATTGTCCAATTTATAGTATAATCATTCTTGGTTTTCCTTCTTTTAACAGAAAGTGTTGTGTTTATCCTTGAATTGAGTACTAAATCTATCTTCTGAGGTATAACAAACCTCATATGAGTGTATATATATATATAGACGTGTGTATATAATATATATATATAACTTGGTCCGCATAATTGATTACGAAATCAGACCCTTTTGGATTCGTTATTCTCGCACATCATATCAAAAAATGAAGATGACAAACAGCTTTTTGTTGGTTTCATTGGTGTTGATTTGGTCATCAGTAATGGCGGACTTACAGGGAACCGTTAACATGGTTTACACCGAGAAGCCCAATGGCGAAAACCAAGACTCCTATAACCTCCATACCCTTTCTGCCGTCCTCGGCAGGTTCATTCTCTCTCTCTATACATATTCTGTATATATATTCTCTATATATATAATATAATATATATGTGTGCGTAACTGTGTGTTGATTGATTGTATTAGCGAGGAGAAGGCGAAGGATGCGCTAATTTACAACTATGAAAGTGTTGGTGGATTCTCTGCCAAACTTACTCCCGAAGAGACCGCCCAAATCAAAAGTGAGTTTTCTTTTTTCTGTTTTTTTCTTTCTTTTTTTATTTTTATTTTTATTTTTATTTTTTAAATTTATGTAATTAAGTTATACTTGTTGTTTTATTTATTCTGTAGTCAATTCCATATACAATGAATATGATTGATTGAATATTTTTGGGGGCATCTTTATCAGACCCACATTTTATTTTCCTTCATAATCATCATAATTTCATGAAAGCATATATCATAATAATATAGGCTAATTTCATAAAATCTCTATTATTTTCAAATTTTGCTAATAAATTTCTAATTATTGGACTCGTTAATTTGGATGTAAAATGACAAATTTAACCTTACTATTTAAAGTTAAATTTAAAAATTTTTTTTTTTTTTCAATTACAAAAATACCATTGTCTTCTTCATCACCTCTCTCTCTCTAAAACAGACCCAAACCTATGGGATTAGCCTTTTTTTTAGGTGATAATGGCAGACCTAACAATTAAGAATGGAGATTAATTTGGAATAGACACAAACCTCTGTGTTAAAACAGTCACTGTTTGTGTGATTATGGGCGTTTTAAGTAAACTAATTTTTTATCAGAAAAAACTCTCCAACTATGTAAAAGAGTGGATATTTGGTCCAAAATACTCTTATTGTATTTGAATCATAATTTGTCCGAATTTCAAAAATTCATATCTCACAAACTGTGTATCAAAAAATTAAAAATAATATGTGCACGGAGAACTTATGAAACAAGGCTTCTAGAAATATAAAATTTGTGCAACAAGCCACCATAATCAGAGAGAAATAAGCAATCTAAGAATTTGTTTCCGCAGTCTTATTTTATTTTTATTACTTAGGATATTTGCAATAAAATTTTCAAAATTATTCATTTGCATACGTAGCATAACATATAAAAAAAATTTCAGAATTATTCATGTCCTGTGGAGTGGATCCTGTGCCGCTAGAATATCGCTAATACACTATTATATATACATATATGTTGTATATATTAGAAGATTTTGAGCAGTTGTCCTGATTGAAATATATATATTTTTTTGGCAGAGCAACCCGGTGTTCTTGAGGTTGTCCCAAGTAAGTCAGCCCAGCTGCAAGCAGGAACTCATAATCTGAGAGTGTGAAAAACTTTAAATTCTCAATGTTTAAATGACTATATCTATATGTTCACAGCACTTTGTATTCCAAGTTAATGTACACTCAAAACCACTCTTAATGCGTGTTGTCAATTGTATATTTAGCTTTGTATAGCAAAGTGCTTGTGTAGATTATATATATATATATATATATATATATATATATATATATGCCAAATTGCAATTGTGATTCTTTACTTGTTCAAACACAGGGATGTTATGGTCACAAACCGCTTTTGTTTTCATTGGATTCGAGATTTTCCATACCAACTTTCTCAGTGTGTAAGAAATTATTTAACACAAGATATATTATTTAACAAAATGCACATTCGATTGAACAAGACAATATTCATAGTAACATATATTATATTATAAAAAATTGTTAAATAATATATCTTGTGTGTGTAAGAAATTATATATACAATGTGTTATGATATTATAAATTATTTTAAATATAATATTTATGTATAATATAATATAGTATAGATATCGTATATAATAATATAAAATTTCTATTGCATAATAATTTACTAATATTATATAAATTAAATAAATAATATATAATTAATTAAAATATAATAGTTCACTGCAACGGGTCTTCGAAAATGCCCTGTACACTTCTTTCTCACCCGGGCCAACAACATTATGTTATCAAACAAACCTTTCCTCTATATTTTGTTACATTAGCCCGAGGCATTGAAAGAGATCTTAGTTAATCATTTATTAGAGTATCTGGGGTGCGGATCAAAGTAGATAAGATTTATGTAAAGTAGAGAGAGGGGATGGCATGAGCAAAAGATGGAGTATGAATTTAGTGGCCCCTACATGCTCCTATCTATCCTATTGTTTATGGATATAGAATCGTATATGTTATATCCATTTGTTTAGAATATTTTATATGCTTCTATCTGGTCTCTTCTCTCGGCATCAATGTTTTTTTTTTTTTTTGGTCTCTTTGCACAACATTAGCTATACCTTTTGCCTATACAACTCTCTCTCTATGGTTTTTCAATTTTTTGGTGATCTGTTTTCAGTCCTCAACGACTATTTTATCTCAACGGCTCTTTTATTATTCAATAGTTTTCTTCACTCAAATGGCTTTTTTATTTATTTTTTCAAAAAGACACTATAAATACTAATTCAACTCTATTAACAATTCTTATCTTCAACAATTATCTCTCTCAATATTTCTTTTAACATTCATCTCCACTGATCCTCTACCTCCATTCTTTCGCCGCCATCTCAATCAATCACATAACTCCGAATTACCACCGCAATCCAATTATAATTTGGATTCTATAAATTTTTTTCAATCCGAAAATCCATCTCAACCCCTAATACTCTTATTTTCCATACCCACCACATTCCCAATTTCAAATTTTTTTCAATCCGAAAGAAGTAGACTTGATAATTGAAAGAAGATAGAATGAGTGGTTTATATAGAAATTGAAATATAGTCATTGAGAATATAGCCGCTGGGAATATAACCGTTGGAAAAAGACAAAAAAATAATAAATTTAAAATTTTTTTTATTTAATTTTAAAATTAAATTAATAAAATAATTATAAAATACTCCCTCCGTCCCAATATAAGTGTCACTTATGGGGAGTAATAATTTTTAAGGGGACATGTGAGACCATGTATTGCCTGCCTGAAAAATTACTAAGTTACCTTTTTAAGTTTTGAATATTGAAATTTGAAATTTAAACTCAAAGGACATTTTTGGAATGATGTGAAATATATTATTTTAAAAAAGAAAGTGGACACTTATTTGGGGACAGTTAAAAAAGGAAAGCATGACACTTATTTTGAGACGAATGGAGTAATAAATAGATAATAAGATAATTGAGTTATACACATGAAACATATTGGATAACAAAAAATAAGGTACCACATCATCACCTTTTATTAAAATAAAGCTTATGTGGCAATTTACATTTAAAAAGTAGATAGATTAAATATTTATAGCACACAAGATACTTTTAAGGATTATTTTCCTCTCTTTTTACAATTCTCGAAACCTTTACTTAAAAGACTTGAAAGTTATAACCCAATGTCCAGAGGCGACTAATTGCTAATTGGGCCTAGTGATGACACCATTCTAGTCAAAAGAAAAAACTTGCCCCAACTTCTATTAGTGCTTTAAGCAATAGTGTCCCTCACAAAGCTACTCTGTTTAACGTATATTGTTGAGGTGTGTGAAGAAGCAAACGACATTCTCAAGTAAATCACATCTCAAAGGGTCAAAAGCAATTCAGTCCTCATCAAGTGAAAACAAACTAGGCAAAGAACATAATTCACTACTGTAATAAATAACTCATATCAAATTGCACTTAGCATTTGTAAAAGAAAAACTTAGTTGGAAATAGAAATGGCAATACAAATTCCAGCACCTCTTGTAGCTTCCAGTGCTCCTCTTCCCTAATCCTCTTTCAGCCTCAGTCTCCATTTCCTGTGTGTGTGTGTGTGTGTGTGTGTGAGAGAGAGAGAGAGAGAGAGAGAATTCTCCAACAGCAGAGGCTGATAAACTGTGAAGGCAAAATAAGTATTGAAGGGTTGAAAATTTCCTACAAAACATGTTGGTATTAACCAATGGATCTTCAATTTTCATTCATCGGGTGTGGCGTGAGCTTTCTCAAGCAAATTTCATTTCACCATATCAAGCTGGTAACATGATCATCAACAGACTATAAGACTGAAACGAATGGCCACACGAAGGTGTTTAAATATATATCCTTTTCCTAATACATGACCGAAATGGCTCTAACAATTCAATCAGAAATCATCGTGTATAGAGATGCTACTATCAACATTCCATAGTACACCTATAGTCCAGAATTCCCATATAATCCCTACTGGGAGATCATACGGATTAACATACAGAAACAATCAAATGAAGGAATACATCTGCTTTTTGTGCTTTTGTAGGGCGAGTAATCAACTGGTGTGTATCACAAGCAAAGATGAAGACACATCCTGCCTTAAGGTTATCTAGACAACAAGGGTCGTGCACCTTAATTCTTTCTTGTGTCCTATAATCTGTGTTACAGTCAAGTAGTAATCATCTCAAGCTCCCTTTGATTAATAAAGCGGAGGGAGCCAGCCGGTGGCTATTATTCATACACTCGCTTCCTCTTTAAGAGGGTAGGAATTATAATGACAGATCCAATGAGGAAAAGCACAGATAAGGTCTTGAAATCGTACAGATCTTTGACTGACTTCAGATCCCCAAGAGCAAGGCCAGCCTGAAGACAACAAAAGTAGAAGCTCCGGTTAGGTTAGAGTGCCAAAAGAACAAGCAAAATTAGCTTCAGAACATAGTTTACTACTATGGAATTGATTAATATTCTGTCACTAATAGGGGGAGGTGCAGGGTCCAAGTCTTAGTTGGAACAGGTGTCCATTGTAAGCTTGCTTTAAAAAGCAACTCGAGCTCAACCCAAGATATAAAATCTTCAACCATTTAACCCGAGCGCAACCCAACCCGAGCCCAACCCATCCTTAATTTCTTAAGTTTGGGTTGAATTCGGGCTTGCAACTCAGGTTGAAATTTCGGGTTGACTTCGGGCTTCTAACTCGGGTTTGCTATTTCAGGTTAGAATTCGGGTTTGCTTAAATAACAAATGAAATAGCCATTTTAGGGTTACTAAAGGATATCCAGTGTATTGCATATATGTTACAATCAAGTGAACTCACTAACTAACCAATCACATACAACCAGCACAAATATAAATACATGTATATAATATATAACATATATATTGGGTTCATTGTTCGGGTTCATAAGTCGGGTTCGTCAGGTTTTGTAATTCGGGACCGGCTCGGGTTGGGCTTCAGGTTGTCTGACACAGTAACCCGAGCCCAGCAAAAAATAAAATCGGAATGTTACTTTTCAACCCAAGCCCACCCGAGTTGCATCCCTATCTAATACTAACTAGAAGTAACAAAAAACATGCATTTGATGACCAGATGGTTCCTATCCTCTTAGTAACCACTTTGCCCTTTCACTCACTTTTTTTTGAACACTTTGATTGCCATTTCGTCCTTCCGTTGACCTTTTTATTTTAAAAAGAAGCAGGAATAGAAAAACTTCCTCTGTAAAGGCAACAAAGAAGATACGCTCCTGAATTCAAATAGAAACAGGAGTATAAAATGATGGTAGAATTTTAAAAACAAATAATATTTTTACAAATTTATAAGTATATAAATTAATTAAAAACCTACAGTTCCCTATTTTAGTCAATGATAGATTTATAAACATCTTGTTATCCTATAATGAACATAAACCAATTCCATTAAATGGAAAAGAGAGGATAGAGAACTGAGTAGATATAGCCTGTAGGATAACACTAAACACCATGCTAATCTGACATTTAAGCCTAATCCAGGACTCTTTGTTATGTTACAGTCTCCTAAATTTTTTTTTTTTTTTTTGTTTTACAAATATTTCGTAAAGAACATGCCACGAGTCTTAAAAAAAAAGGGTTGATGGGTAAAACAGAATTTAGAAGAACCAATTATCAAGGATGATCTAGGTGAATATTGTGTACCACCAACCTCATTCTATATCAAATTTAGAGTGAAACTATACACTATAGTGAAATAGAAGTGCTTTAGCTCTTTCAGACAAATCTGGCATATAATCAAGTTGAATCTTGAATAATCGGACCGAGACTTTCAGAGAAACGATCAGGTTCACATATTGGTAAGGATAACAAATTACCTTCCGGCTCCCACAGATCAGCAGACTAATGATGTGAATCAATTGTTTGGCTTTTATAGTATTTTGATGATACTAAATAGCTACAAATTATATAACCAAGTGTGAAGTTTTACACTCTCAAAAAGATTACTTTTTAAGAGTTTTATGTTCCAATACTCCAAGATTACTCTTAATCCTCAAAGAGGATGGGAGGGGTTCGAGCCCAGGAGTGGGCAAAAAGGTAAGTGTGTGTGTGCGTGTGAAAAAAAAAAAAAAAAAAAAAAAGTCCTAGCTGAAGAAGGCAAGAAGCTACAGAAACATGGCCAACAAAAGGACACTAAATAAACAGAGTACACTACGTATCTCAACAAGGATGATAGGTATGTAAAGAACACATCCAATAACACCCTTTTAAAAGGATCCAAGATTACTCTTAAAAGATTAATCAGAATACCAGCTGTGTTGTTCTAGAAGAAAATATATATAAATAAATAAAAATGGGTGTGGGAACTAGCTGAAGAAGCTACCGTAACATGGCCAACAAAAGGACACTATATAAACAAAGCATACTACTTCATATGTAACATATATCAACAAGGATAGTCGTGTAAAGAACCCATCCAATTACACCCTTTTAAAATTATCCTGTTCATATCCACCTAGACCTCTATTATAAACGCAAAAGGAAATTGGTTTCAGAAAACTTGCATTTCCCTGACCACATTGGTATTCTCTATCGAAATAATGTTTCAGACTCTCTCCACTACAAGAGACTCCCCAAACTGGAGAAAGACAGAGACCCAGAAAAATCAACTATACAACAAGGGATGGGAAGATTATCACATTAACCCTTCTTGGCAAAACCTTAAATATCATTATAACTTGTTAGCCAATGTCTATCATCTAGAAATCAATCCTTCCAACAGGAAAAACCTCATGGAAAAGCACCCCCTTTGCAATTTACTGGATTCCATTAATATCTTTAAGGAGAAAAAAGGACTTCAAGTCAAGGACAAAGGGACGAAAATCTTTAACCAACATGGAGAGCAACCCGAGTCTAAATCCAGTCAACTGACAGAAACAAAGGAACAAACATAATTGCCCCCATGCAACCACCAACCCACATCCTATTTCCTAACATAGAGATCAAGTGGAACTCCACATGGGCAATATCCCGGTCATTAACATGCTGTATAACCCTAAAAGACCTAAGAGCAAAATCATCCTCCCTCTACATAAGCGCCCTTAATTTACATAGTCCAGAACAACTACACAACAGTTAAGGGTACTTGTGCTCTTAGAAAAGTCAGTGCGTCTCTGAAATGTCAATGGTGCCTACCAAAATTCAAATATTGTGAAAGAAAATTCAGAGGAACAAACATAATAAAAGAAACCAAAACCAACCACTGGTCCACTACCATAGCAAGCTAAAGTCTTTTTACTATAAAAAATAAATAAATAAATAAAATTAGAAATGATGAAAGTCAATCTTCATAGAATGATATATTTTCAACATAGATGACTAGTGTTGGATGATTAAAATAGACTTACTCTGACAGTGATATATGAAGCTGGAATAAGTCCAATCACTGTTGCCAGAAAGAAAACATGAAATGGTATATCCACAATTGGAGATGCCAGATTGATGAAAAGGTTGGGCAAGGTTGGACTAATCCTCAAAAAAAGCATGTAATTCAGCAACTTTTCCCTACGCTTTGATATCTGAATCAAAAAGTTTCAATTTAGTATGGGACCAGGAATTAGAGATATTGTGAAAAAATTCAATATATGGTAAATATAAGACAACTGCGATAGAGAACACAAAAAGTACCTCTGCCTGAAAAAATCTCAACTTGTCAGGCCACAACCAGTGAACTATGGGCCTGCCTATTAACTTGGACAGAAAATAGCAAGATGATGCTCCAGCCGTGGCATTAAAAACAACCAAGAAAAGGCCTCTGATAACGCCAAAGAGAGCTCCAGCTAACAATGACATGAAAATGGTGCCGGGAATCATAAATGTCTGCATGAATATGTATGTTGAACAGTATCCAAGAATGAATTTTGCTGGGAAAGCTTTAGCATATGTTGCAAGATGATGCCTGAAACAAAACGCAGAACAACATAATTCAGGGAAAGTATGACACAGTTCAGCATGATCATGAAAACCAGTAGAATTGAAGATCTAGACATCCTTAAATAAATAGATAAAACAAGGTAGTAAAGATCCCTTGGTTGGATTACGTTGTAAAGTTTTTGGATGAAAAAGATAACGAAAATCAAAACCAAATTCACAAAAGAAAAATAAAAAACAAACACTAAGGCCAAAGAACCAAATTCTTGCATGTGTGCTTGGCAGGTAAGGAAATTCCTGATTCAATGTTTTCAAGATGTTGTAAATTATTCTTAAAATCGGAAAAAAATTTCAATTAGATGGTCCATAACATGTAATCATAATAGTGATAATAAGTTAAAATAGGTTTCTACATCCCTATTCATCATTTCAACTCAGATATAGCCATTGTAGGCCCCATTCTATGAGGGCTCTCCTTCCAAGTCTCTTTGTATTACCTGCATTGACTTTAAAAGGTATTTTATACTTGTCGGAGGCCATATAAGATAACTTTAACAAACCAAAACTATAGATAGGACAATCTAGTTACAATATTGTCTAATGAACAGGAAAAGATCTTTTCAAGATTTACAACTGCCATTACTTGCTCATTTCTCCAGATTTTGAAGCCATGAGCTTCAAAATATATCAATAAATTGGATACAAAATCTGTATGATCTTTTCTTTTCCTTTTATGTCCTTTTGTTAACTCTTCCACTCCGTCCCCCAATCAAGGTAGAACCAGAAAATCAAATATAATAAAGCTTAGCATAATGGAGCCAGCCCCCAATGAAACTAGCAAGCATTTAAATCAAGTCAGTTTTACTTTTTCCATTTTTTTTTTTAATTCTCTATCCTTAGTTTGATTTAGAATAATGGCTATGATTTGTTCCTGTAGTTTTCAAGTTAGTTCTTGGAACCACAATTTTCTGAGGCATTAGATTCTCATAAATGTTCATATTACTCAAGCTGACATTTTAGGGTTATCTTTGTTTAAATATCTGTTTTATTATTATTTTTTATTTTTTTAGCTGTTTTCAGCCTTTTGTTAGGTGTTTTATGTAAGATCTCAATTATCATGGATCACATAGATAAGATCCCCGTAATCATGGGATCACGTAGATAAGATCCCCATAATCATGGGATCACGTATATTTTGACATATTTCATGTTTTTCTTTGATTTGGTTTCCCTTCTTTGTATCCTATTCTTCTACATAAATATAACTCTTGGCTCTCGGTTTGAGTAAGTCAAAACCCAAAACTACTTATTTTTGGTATCAGAGCAAAACAAAAACCTTCGCCTCCCCAACACCGCCATCTTCTCTCTCCCTCTCTCCATTTTTCCTCAACTCCAGTGCACCTCCATCTCCTCCCAACCCTTGCGCCGGACCCCTCGGGTAACCCTCTGTTTTTTAATCCTTTTTTAGGATAATTCCCTTAGGTTTTTTATGACCTAAGGATCCTTCTGGCCTTTTTTTTTTTTCTTTGTGGGCTGCCGGTGTTTGTTCGGTACCATATTTGGAGGAAAGCGCGTCGATTTTTCTGCCCTTGTTTTTTTTCTCTTTCCTCCTGCTTTCATGTGTGGATTAGCCTTATTTTGGTAATATGACTGATTCTAGTAGCCAAAAGGACACTTTATCCTCGATCTAGCATACTTTATTTTCGGCACATCATAATCCGACATAGCGGGTTACTAGTGTGCTCTTGAATGGGCGCAACTTCGTATCTTGGTCCCGTTCTCCTCAACTCTATATTGGAGGGAAAGGAAAAACTGGTTGGCTTTTGGGTCTAGTCAAGGAACCGAAAAAGACGAACACTAAATATATTGCATGGGACATGGACAGGTGCACCATCCTGGATTGGATCTTCAACTCAATGGAGGAGCGTATTTATAATATGTTCATGTTTCACACTTCTGTTTTTCGTCTGTGGCAAACCCTTAACAAGATGTATGCTCGTTCCCGCAATGATGCTCGTATCTTTGAACTCTATCAGGAGATTGCTCACGCATCTCAAGAGACACTCAAGCTCTCAGTATCAAAGTATTTTGGGTACCTCTAGTCTAGGTGGGAAGAATTAGCATAGTATGAACCTCTCTCCGATTTCTCTGAAGAAGCTGCAACTCTTTTGGTCAAGAGACTGGACCGCCAGCATACCTACTAGTTTTTTATAGGTTTACGATCTGAGTATGATGCTCTTAGAATTCAGATCATAAACCCCTCTCCTATGCTTGATTCATACGATGCCTTTGCTACTGTTGACCATGAGGAGCCTAGACGTCAGATCTCTCAGCCAGTAACTTTACCAAAGACTAGTAGGTATGCTGTGGGGGGTGTGTTATGGTGTGGGGTGGGTGTGGGGGGTTTGAGGTTTGAACAGCTTCTTCTTGCTGCTCCAGTCATTACCATAATCATTAACTATAGCTTTTTCATTGCAATTATTGTGGCAATAAATATAGTAATGGAAATTGTTCTTTCCGTTTGTCCTTTTCTAGATGCTATAAGTTATTGATATGTTGATTTTGCTTTAGATGCTGGAATCAGCTCTAAATCATCTGCTTGAAGGACGCCACGTCTACGATAAAACAACTTCGGATTCTTTGACAAACGACAATCCTGAGGTCTATGCTAAATTTTGGAGTCAATTGCAGATGCTGTTGAAGAAAATGCTAGCCACGGCACTTTCCACAAGTACAAACAAGTCTTCTCTTAATCCCCAGCCAACTCCATCTAATCGATCTGGAGACGTTGGAAAGCTCAGGGAGCTTTACAAGATGTCTTTGAAGACCACAGATCTCAGTCAGCTGCATGCTATGCACAGCTTGTGGACATCCTAATCAGAACGGCTTTTACAGTTCACACTTCATTTCTAAAATCTTCTGCCATATTTATTATATTCAAAATGTTCGTTCTATGGTAGTGTATGGTTTCTCCGCTTATAATCGTCATTTTGCATGATAGCCTAAAACCAATTTGGGAATAGGAGGATCTTGGATTCAGAAGATTTTGAAGATGAAACATGTGACATTTTATGTTGATACGCAGTTTTGATTATGAAATTTTCTGTATAAATGGGAAGCACAAGACTTATGATCTTGGATGCATGGTTCTGTTGGCTATCTGAGGTTCATGTTCAATGTAAATGTTATTGAAATCTTAGTATGTGGACATTATTTTCTTCCCTTCCTTTTAGCATGTGTGTGTGTGTGTGTGTCTCTCTCTCTCTCTCTCTCTCTATATATATATATATATATATGTATCTATCTATCAGGAGTAAACATTTCAAGGTTATTCCCCTAAATGGGTCCAAATAAAGAAATTGCTTTTTTGTATCAAGAATGGGTGAGATTGACTAAAATTTAAATGGTGGTATCGGGTCTCTTAGAACACCTCGTGGGTTATCACGGGACACGAGATTGACTAGCTTCTAATCTATTTTGGGACCAAGTTCTAATAGAAAACTACACAACAACATTTGCTTGATTTAGAGTCCGATATTTCATTGTCCAATTTATAGTATAATCATTCTTGGTTTTCCTTCTTTTAACAGAAAGTGTTGTGTTTATCCTTGAATTGAGTACTAAATCTATCTTCTGAGGTATAACAAACCTCATATGAGTGTATATATATATATAGACGTGTGTATATAATATATATATATAACTTGGTCCGCATAATTGATTACGAAATCAGACCCTTTTGGATTCGTTATTCTCGCACATCATATCAAAAAATGAGGATGACAAACAGCTTTTTGTTGGTTTCATTGGTGTTGATTTGGTCATCAGTAATGGCGGACTCACAGGGAACCGTTAACATGGTTTACACCGAGAAGCCCAATGGCGAAAACCAAGACTCCTATAACCTCCATACCCTTTCTGCCGTCCTCGGCAGGTTCATTCTCTCTCTCTATACATATTCTGTATATATATTCTCTATATATATAATATAATATATATGTGTGCGTAACTGTGTGTTGATTGATTGTATTAGCGAGGAGAAGGCGAAGGATGCGCTAATTTACAACTATGAAAGTGTTGGTGGATTCTCTGCCAAACTTACTCCCGAAGAGACCGCCCAAATCAAAAGTGAGTTTTCTTTTTTCTGTTTTTTTCTTTCTTTTTTTATTTTTATTTTTATTTTTATTTTTTAAATTTATGTAATTAAGTTATACTTGTTGTTTTATTTATTCTGTAGTCAATTCCATATACAATGAATATGATTGATTGAATATTTTTGGGGGCATCTTTATCAGACCCACATTTTATTTTCCTTCATAATCATCATAATTTCATGAAAGCATATATCATAATAATATAGGCTAATTTCATAAAATCTCTATTATTTTCAAATTTTGATAATAAATTTCTAATTATTGGATTCGTTAATTTGGATGTAAAATGACAAATTTAACCTTACTATTTAAAATTAAATTTAAATTTTTTTTTTTTTTTTCAATTACAAAAATACCATTGTCTTCTTCATCACCTCTCTCTCTCTAAAACAGACCCAAACCTATGGGATTAGCCTTTTTTTTAGGTGATAATGGCAGACCTAACAATTAAGAATGGAGATTAATTTGGAATAGACACAAACCTCTGTGTTAAAACAGTCACTGTTTGTGTGATTATGGGCGTTTTAAGTAAACTAATTTTTTATCAGAAAAAACTCTCCAACTATGTAAAAGAGTGGATATTTGGTCCAAAATACTCTTATTGTATTTGAATCATAATTTGTCCGAATTTCAAAAATTCATATCTCACAAACTGTGTATCAAAAAATTAAAAATAATATGTGCACGGAGAACTTATGAAACAAGGCTTCTAGAAATATAAAATTTGTGCAACAAGCCACCATAATCAGAGAGAAATAAGCAATCTAAGAATTTGCTTCCGCAGTTTTATTTTATTTTTATTACTTAGGATATTTGCAATAAAATTTTCAAAATTATTCATTTGCATACGTAGCATAACATATAAAAAAAATTTCAGAATTATTCATGTCCTGTGGAGTGGATCCTGTGCCGCTAGAATATCGCTAATACACTATTATATATGCATATATGTTGTATATATTAGAAGATTTTGAGCAGTTGTCCTGATTGAAATATATATATTTTTTTGGCAGAACAACCCGGTGTTCTTGAGGTTGTCCCAAGTAAGTCAGCCCAGCTGCACTCAGGAACTCATAATCTGAGAGTGTGAAAAACTTTAAATTCTCAATGTTTAAATGACTATATCTATATGTTCACAGCACTTTGTATTCCAAGTTAATGTACACTCAAAACCACTCTTAATGCGTGTTGTCAATTGTATATTTAGCTTTGTATAGCAAAGTGCTTGTGTAGATTATATATATATATATATATATATATGCCAAATTGCAATTGTGATTCTTTACTTGTTCAAACACAGGGATGTTATGGTCACAAACCGCTTTTGTTTTCATTGGATTCGAGATTTTCCATACCAACTTTCTCAGTGTGTAAGAAATTATTTAACACAAGATATATTATTTAACAAAATGCACATTCGATTGAACAAGACAATATTCATAGTAACATATATTATATTATAAAAAATTGTTAAATAATATATCTTGTGTGTGTAAGAAATTATATATACAATGTGTTATGATATTATAAATTAATTTAAATATAATATTTATGTATAATATAATATAGTATAGATATCGTATATAATAATAAAAAATTTCTATTGCATAATAATTTACTAATATTATATAAATTAAATAAATAATATATAATTAATTAAAATATAATATTTATATATAATATAATATTATATAAATATCGTATATAATAATATAAAATATCTATTGCATAATAATTTGCTAATATTATATAAAATAAATAAATAATATATAATAAATCAATTTTTTTTCTCAAAAGATAATTTTACACTATTATATATACACATTATATATTAGAAAAATAATTTTTTATTAGATAAAAAATAGTTTACACTATTATATAATATGTATATAGAAATATTAGAAATAATAAGTAGTAGTATATAACATGAATTTGTTTGAAATGAATAGTGCATGTGTTTTTATAATATGGCTGCTCCAATGAAGATAGATTGTGTGATGATGTTATTTATATTGCTAATGAGGGTCTCCATTGGGCTCACGGCCCAGGCCGGCGCCAGCCCAAGCCCAAGTCCACACTTGTTTCGAAGCGTATTGGTCTTTGAATAGGTTCAAATGAAGCAAATCACATTGATAAAAAAAATATATAATAATAAAAAGGTAAATTACAATTACACTCTAAGTTTTGGTTAAAGAATACCATCTATAATTTAGGTATTTTTTAATGACGATACTCTTAAGTTTGATAAATTGAACAATGACACTCTCAAACCAAGCTAAAAGTACCTTATTGTCCTTTGACTTATGAATTTACTTATTTGAATTATTAATTTACCATTTTAACATTCTCAAAGTATTTTAATGGATAAATTAACATATTCTTCTCCATACCACAAAATCTGGAAACCCGATACAAAATTCAGAACCTAACCACCATTTTGGTCAGTTGAAAAGGATGAGTTGTGTCCAAAAATATAGATGTGAGACCCTTATTTATAAGGTGTCTCTACCCTTTTATTTTATTTTTATTTTCTCCATCCCACTCTTCTCATACAATAATGAATTGCCAACTTACTCGTATGGGGTGGTAGGAAATGCCATCTCTATTTTTATTTTATTTTATTTTTTTCATTTTTCTGATAGTGTTATAATTCTCCAGTATGCCGTCATATTTATAAAATAATTCAAAGCCTTTGTTTATTAATCTCAGGTGTGTGAGTGTGGTTTCTAAAGCATTTGTTTATATCAAACATATCAAAATCTGGGAAAAGGATATAGATTTTGTTGTTGTCCATTGGTAGTACTAGATTTTTTGTAGTACAACACGCGTGTTGTAACAGAGGAGAATCTGAACTAGTTCACTACAACGGGTCTTTGAAAATGCCCTGTACACTTCTTTCTCACCCGGGCCAACAACATTATGTTATTAAACAAACCTTTCCTCTATATTTTGTTACATTAGCCCGAGGCATTGAAAGAGATCTTAGTTAATCATTTATTAGAGTATCTGGGGTGCGGATTAAAGTAGATAAGATTTATGTAAAGTAGAGAGAGGGGATGGCATGAGCAAAAGATGGAGTATGAATTTAGTGGCCCCTACATGCTCCTATCTATCCTATTGTTTATGGATATAGAATCGTATATGTTATATCCATTTGTTTAGAATATTTTATATGCTTCTATCTGGTCTCTTCTCTCGGCATCAATGTTTTTTTTTTTTTTTGGTCTCTTTGCACAACATTAGCTATACCTTTTGCCTATACAACTCTCTCTCTATGGTTTTTCAATTTTTTGGTGATCTGTTTTCAGTCCTCAACGGCTATTTTATCTCAACGGCTCTTTTATTATTCAATAGTTTTCTTCACTCAAATGGCTTTTTTATTTATTTTTTCAAAAAGACACTATAAATACTAATTCAACTCTATTAACAATTCTTATCTTCAACAATTATCTCTCTCAATATTTCTTTTAACATTCATCTCCACTGATCCTCTACCTCCATTCTTTCGCCGCCATCTCAATCAATCACATAACTCCGAATTACCACCGCAATCCAATTATAATTTGCATTCTTTAAATTTTTTCCAATCTGAAAATCCATCTCAACCCCTAATACTCTTATTTTCCATACCCACCACATTCCCAATTTCAATTTTTTTTCAATCCGAAAGAAGTAGACTTGATAATTGAAAGAAGATAGAATGAGTGGTTTATATAGAAATTGAAATATAGTCGTTGAGAATATAGCCGCTGGGAATATAACCGTTGGAAAAAGACAAAAAAATAATAAATTTAAAATTTTTTTTATTTAATTTTAAAATTAAATTAATAAAATAATTATAAAATACTCCCTCCGTCCCAATATAAGTGTCACTTATGGGGAGTAATAATTTTTAAGGGGACATGTGGGACCATGTATTGTTTGCCTGAAAAATTACTAAGTTACCTTTTTAAGTTTTGAATATTGAAATTTGAAATTTAAACTCAAAGGACATTTTTGGAATGATGTCAAATATATTATTTGAAAAAAGAAAGTGGACACTTATTTGGGACAGTTAAAAAAGGAAAGCATAACACTTATTTTGAGACGAAGGGAGTAATAAATAGATAATAAGATAATTGAGTTACACACATGAAACATATTGGATAACAAAAAATAAGGTACCACATCATCACCTTTTATTAAAATAAAGCTTATGTGGCAATTTACATTTAAAAAGTAGATAGATTAAATATTTATAGCACACAAGATACTTTTAAGGATTATTTTCCTCTCTTTTTACAATTCTCGAAACCTTTACTTAAAAGACTTGAAAGTTATAACCCAATGTCCAGAGGCGACTAATTGCTAATTGGGCCTAGTGATGACACCATTCTAGTCAAAAGAAAAAACTTGCCCCAACTTCTATTAGTGCTTTAAGCAATAGTGTCCCTCACAAAGCTACTCTGTTTAACGTATATTGTTGAGGTGTGTGAAGAAGCAAACGACATTCTCAAGTAAATCACATCTCAAAGGGTCAAAAGCAATTCAGTCCTCATCAAGTGAAAACAAACTAGGCAAAGAACATAATTCACTACTTTAATAAATAACTCATATCAAATTGCACTTAGCATTTGTAAAAGAAAAACTTAGTTGGAAATAGAAATGGCAATACAAATTCCAGCACCTCTTGTCCAGTGCTCCTCTTCCCTAATCCTCTTTCAGCCTCAGTCTCCATTTCCTGTGTGTGTGTGTGTGTGTGTGTGAGAGAGAGAGAGAGAGAGAATTCTCCAACAGCAGAGGCTGATAAACTGTGAAGGCAAAATAAGTATTGAAGGGTTGAAAATTTCCTACAAAACATGTTGGTATTAACCAATGGATCTTCAATTTTCATTCATCGGGTGTGGCGTGAGCTTTCTCAAGCAAATTTCATTTCACCATATCAAGCTGGTAACATGATCATCAACAGACTATAAGACTGAAACGAATGGCCACACGAAGGTGTTTAAATATATATCCTTTTCCTAATACATGACCGAAATGGCTCTAACAATTCAATCAGAAATCATCGTGTATAGAGATGCTACTATCAACATTCCATAGTACACCTATAGTCCAGAATTCCCATATAATCCCTACTGGGAGATCATACGGATTAACATACAGAAACAATCAAATGAAGGAATACATCTGCTTTTTGTGCTTTTGTAGGGCGAGTAATCAACTGGTGTGTATCACAAGCAAAGATGAAGACACATCCTGCCTTAAGGTTATCTAGACAACAAGGGTCGTGCACCTTAATTCTTTCTTGTGTCCTATAATCTGTGTTACAGTCAAGTAGTAATCATCTCAAGCTCCCTTTGATTAATAAAGCGGAGGGAGCCAGCCGGTGGCTATTATTCATACACTCGCTTCCTCTTTAAGAGGGTAGGAATTATAATGACAGATCCAATGAGGAAAAGCACAGATAAGGTCTTGAAATCGTACAGATCTTTGACTGACTTCAGATCCCCAAGAGCAAGGCCAGCCTGAAGACAACAAAAGTAGAAGCTCCGGTTAGGTTAGAGTGCCAAAAGAACAAGCAAAATTAGCTTCAGAACATAGTTTACTACTATGGAATTGATTAATATTCTGTCACTAATAGGGGGAGGTGCAGGGTCCAAGTCTTAGTTGGAACAGGTGTCCATTGTAAGCTTGCTTTAAAAAGCAACTCGAGCTCAACCCAAGATATAAAATCTTCAACCATTTAACCCGAGCGCAACCCAACCCGAGCCCAACCCATCCTTAATTTCTTAAGTTTGGGTTGAATTCGGGCTTGCAACTCAGGTTGAAATTTCGGGTTGACTTCGGGCTTCTAACTCGGGTTTGCTATTTCAGGTTAGAATTCGGGTTTGCTTAAATAACAAATGAAATAGCCATTTTAGGGTTACTAAAGGATATCCAGTGTATTGCATATATGTTACAATCAAGTGAACTCACTAACTAACCAATCACATACAACCAGCACAAATATAAATACATGTATATAATATATAACATATATATTGGGTTCATTGTTCGGGTTCATAAGTCGGGTTCGTCAGGTTTTGTAATTCGGGACCGGCTCGGGTTGGGCTTCAGGTTGTCTGACACAGTAACCCGAGCCCAGCAAAAAATAAAATCGGAATGTTACTTTTCAACCCAAGCCCACCCGAGTTGCATCCCTATCTAATACTAACTAGAAGTAACAAAAAACATGCATTTGATGACCAGATGGTTCCTATCCTCTTAGTAACCACTTTGCCCTTTCACTCACTTTTTTTTGAACATTTTGATTGCCATTTCGTCCTTCCGTTGACCTTTTTATTTTAAAAAGAAGCAGGAATAGAAAAACTTCCTCTGTAAAGGCAACAAAGAAGATGCGCTACTGAATTCAAATAGAAACAGGAGTATAAAATGATGGTAGAATTTTAAAAACAAATAATATTTTTACAAATTTATAAGTATATAAATTAATTAAAAACCTACAGTTCCCTATTTTAGTCAATGATAGATTTATAAACATCTTGTTATCCTATAATGAACATAAACCAATTCCATTAAATGGAAAAGAGAGGATAGAGAACTGAGTAGATATAGCCTGTAGGATAACACTAAACACCATGCTAATCTGACATTTAAGCCTAATCCAGGACTCTTTGTTATGCTACAGTCTCCTAAATTTTTTTTTTTTTTTGTTTTACAAATATTTCGTAAAGAACATGCCACGAGTCTTAAAAAAAAAGGGTTGATGGGTAAAACAGAATTTAGAAGAACCAATTATCAAGGATGATCTAGGTGAATATTGTGTACCACCAACCTCATTCTATATCAAATTTAGAGTGAAACTATACACTATAGTGAAATAGAAGTGCTTTAGCTCTTTCAGACAAATCTGGCATATAATCAAGTTGAATCTTGAATAATCGGACCGAGACTTTCAGAGAAACGATCAGGTTCACATATTGGTAAGGATAACAAATTACCTTCCGGCTCCCACAGATCAGCAGACTAATGATGTGAATCAATTGTTTGGCTTTTATAGTATTTTGATGATACTAAATAGCTACAAATTATATAACCAAGTGTGAAGTTTTACACTCTCAAAAAGATTACTTTTTAAGAGTTTTATGTTCCAATACTCCAAGATTACTCTTAATCCTCAAAGAGGATGGGAGGGGTTCGAGCCCAGGAGTGGGCAAAAAGGTAAGTGTGTGTGTGCGCGTGAAAAAAAAAAAAAAAAAAAAAAGTCCTAGCTGAAGAAGGCAAGAAGCTACAGAAACATGGCCAACAAAAGGACACTAAATAAACAGAGTACACTACGTATCTCAACAAGGATGATAGGTATGTAAAGAACACATCCAATAACACCCTTTTAAAAGGATCCAAGATTACTCTTAAAAGATTAATCAGAATACCAGCTGTGTTGTTCTAGAAGAAAATGTATATAAATAAATAAAAATGGGTGTGGGAACTAGCTGAAGAAGCTACCGTAACATGGCCAACAAAAGGACACTATATAAACAAAGCATACTACTTCATATGTAACATATATCAACAAGGATAGTCGTGTAAAGAACCCATCCAATTACACCCTTTTAAAATTATCCTGTTCATATCCACCTAGACCTCTATTATAAACGCAAAAGGAAATTGGTTTCAGAAAACTTGCATTTCCCTGACCACATTGGTATTCTCTATCGAAATAATGTTTCAGACTCTCTCCACTACAAGAGACTCCCCAAACTGGAGAAAGACAGAGACCCAGAAAAATCAACTATACAACAAGGGATGGGAAGATTATCACATTAACCCTTCTTGGCAAAACCTTAAATATCATTATAACTTGTTAGCCAATGTCTATCATCTAGAAATCAATCCTTCCAACAGGAAAAACCTCATGGAAAAGCACCCCCTTTGCAATTTACTGGATTCCATTAATATCTTTAAGGAGAAAAAAGGACTTCAAGTCAAGGACAAAGGGACGAAAATCTTTAACCAACATGGAGAGCAACCCGAGTCTAAATCCAGTCAACTGACAGAAACAAAGGAACAAACATAATTGCCCCCATGCAACCACCAACCCACATCCTATTTCCTAACATAGAGATCAAGTGGAACTCCACATGGGCAATATCCCGGTCATTAACATGCTGTATAACCCTAAAAGACCTAAGAGCAAAATCATCCTCCCTCTACATAAGCGCCCTTAATTTACATAGTCCAGAACAACTACACAACAGTTAAGGGTACTTGTGCTCTTAGAAAAGTCAGTGCGTCTCTGAAATGTCAATGGTGCCTACCAAAATTCAAATATTGTGAAAGAAAATTCAGAGGAACAAACATAATAAAAGAAACCAAAACCAACCACTGGTCCACTACCATAGCAAGCTAAAGTCTTTTTACTATAAAAAATAAATAAATAAATAAAATTAGAAATGATGAAAGTCAATCTTCATAGAATGATATATTTTCAACATAGATGACTAGTGTTGGATGATTAAAATAGACTTACTCTGACAGTGATATATGAAGCTGGAATAAGTCCAATCACTGTTGCCAGAAAGAAAACATGAAATGGTATATCCACAATTGGAGATGCCAGATTGATGAAAAGGTTGGGCAAGGTTGGAGTAATCCTCAAAAAAAGCATGTAATTCAGCAACTTTTCCCTACGCTTTGATATCTGAATCAAAAAGTTTCAATTTAGTATGGGACCAGGAATTAGAGATATTGTGAAAAAATTCAATATATGGTAAATATAAGACAACTGCGATAGAGAACACAAAAAGTACCTCTGCCTGAAAAAATCTCAACCTGTCAGGCCACAACCAGTGAACTATGGGCCTGCCTATTAACTTGGACAGAAAATAGCAAGATGATGCTCCAGCCGTGGCATTAAAAACAACCAAGAAAAGGCCTCTGATAACGCCAAAGAGAGCTCCAGCTAACAATGACATGAAAATGGTGCCGGGAATCATAAATGTCTGCATGAATATGTATGTTGAACAGTATCCAAGAATGAATTTTGCTGGGAAAGCTTTAGCATATGTTGCAAGATGATGCCTGAAACAAAACGCAGAACAACATAATTCAGGGAAAGTATGACACAGTTCAGCATGATCATGAAAACCAGTAGAATTGAAGATCTAGACATCCTTAAATAAATAGATAAAACAAGGTAGTAAAGATCCCTTGGTTGGATTACGTTGTAAAGTTTTTGGATGAAAAAGATCGAAAATCAAAACCAAATTCACAAAAGAAAAATAAAAAACAAACACTAAGGCCAAAGAACCAAATTCTTGCATGTGTGCTTGGCAGGTAAGGAAATTCCTGATTCAATGTTTTCAAGATGTTGTAAATTATTCTTAAAATCGGAAAAAAATTTCAATTAGATGGTCCATAACATGTAATCATAATAGTGATAATAAGTTAAAATAGGTTTCTACATCCCTATTCATCATTTCAACTCAGATATAGCCATTGTAGGCCCCATTCTATGAGGGCTCTCCTTCCAAGTCTCTTTGTATTACCTGCATTGACTTTAAAAGGTATTTTATACTTGTCGGAGGCCATATAAGATAACTTTAACAAACCAAAACGATAGATAGGACAATCTAGTTACAATATTGTCTAATGAACAGGAAAAGATCTTTTCAAGATTTACAACTGCCATTACTTGCTCATTTCTCCAGATTTTGAAGCCATGAGCTTCAAAATATATCAATAAATTGGATACAAAATCTGTATGATCTTTTCTTTTCCTTTTATGTCCTTTTGTTAACTCTTCCACTCCCTCCCCCAATCAAGGTAGAACCAGAAAATCAAATATAATAAAGCTTAGCATAATGGAGCCAGCCCCCAATGAAACTAGCAAGCATTTAAATCAAGTCAGTTTTACTTTTTCCATTTTTTTTTTTAATTCTCTATCCTTAGTTTGATTTAGAATAATGGCTATGATTTGTTCCTGTAGTTTTCAAGTTAGTTCTTGGAACCACAATTTTCTGAGGCATTAGATTCTCATAAATGTTCATATTACTCAAGCTGACATTTTAGGGTTGTCTTTGTTTAAATATCTGTTTTATTATTATTTTTTATTTTTTTAGCTGTTTTCAGCCTTTTGTTAGGTGTTTTATGTAAGATCTCAATTATCATGGATCACATAGATAAGATCCCCGTAATCATGGGATCACGTAGATAAGATCCCCATAATCATGGGATCACGTATATTTTGACATATTTCACGTTTTTCTTTGATTTGGTTTCCCTTCTTTGTATCCTATTCTTGTACATAAATATAACTCTTGGCTCTCGGTTTGAGTAAGCCAAAACCCAAAACTACTTATTTTTGGTATCAGAGCAAAACAAAAACCTTCGCCTCCCCAACACCGCCGTCTTCTCTCTCCCTCTCTCCATTTTTCCTCAACTCCAGTGCACCTCCATCTCCTCCCAACCCTTGCGCCGGACCCCTCGGGTAACCCTCTGTTTTTTAATCCTTTTTTAGGATAATTCCCTTAGGTTTTTTATGACCTAAGGGTCCTTCTGGCCTTTTTTTTTTTTCTTTGTGGGCTGCCGGTGTTTGTTCGGTACCATATTTGGAGGAAAGCGCGTCGATTTTTCTGCCCTTGTTTTTTTTCTCTTTCCTCCTGCTTTCATGTGTGAATTAGCCTTATTTTGGTAATATGACTGATTCTAGTAGCCAAAAGGACACTTTATCCTCGATCTAGCATACTTTATCTTCGGCACATCATAATCCGACATAGCGGGTTACTAGTGTGCTCTTGAATGGGCGCAACTTCGTATCTTGGTCCCGTTCTCCTCAACTCTATATTGGAGGGAAAGGAAAAACTGGTTGGCTTTTGGGTCTAGTCAAGGAACCGAAAAAGACGAACACTAAATATATTGCATGGGACATGGACAGGTGCACCATCCTGGATTGGATCTTCAACTCAATGGAGGAGCGTATTTATAATATGTTCATGTTTCACACTTCTGTTTTTCGTCTGTGGCAAACCCTTAACAAGATGTATGCTCATTCCCGCAATGATGCTCGTATCTTTGAACTCTATCAGGAGATTGCTCACGCATCTCAAGAGACACTCAAGCTCTCAGTATCAAAGTATTTTGGGTACCTCTAGTCTAGGTGGGAAGAATTAGCATTGTATGAACCTCTCTCCGATTTCTCTGAAGAAGCTGCAACTCTTTTGGTCAAGAGACTGGACCGCCAGCATACCTACTAGTTTTTTATAGGTTTACGATCTGAGTATGATGCTCTTAGAATTCAGATCATAAACCCCTCTCCTATGCTTGATTCATACGATGCCTTTGCTACTGTTGACCATGAGGAGCCTAGACGTCAGATCTCTCAGCCAGCAACTTTACCAAAGACTCCAGTTGATCAGATGGCTCTTGTTGCTAATTCTAGACTTTCAGAGGGAAAGGTTATTTGTTAACATTGTGGAGCCACGGGTCATGTAAAGGATCGTTGCTTTAAGCTTCACCCCGAGCTAAAGCATAAATTTTCTCGCAATCGTCCTTCTGGCCGTGGCCGCACTGCCGCAGTAGCCGATGCTATTGGTGGGAATACTACTCCACACATTGTTGTCCCTCCTGCTTTAACTCCTCCCAGACCATCTTTTTAGGACTTTAATCAGTTACAGTCCTAGATTGGTCAGCTTCAGGAGCAGTTCAGAGCTTTATCTACCAGGGTTGGCTCTTCTATTCCCACGGCTACTATAGCTATAGGTACTCCTTCTGCTTTTCATGTTAAAACGGGAAAACCTACTTAGGTTCTGGATTCCGGAGCCAATGATCACATGACTAGTGAGTTGTCATTATACTCTACTCCTGTTACCCCTGTTAACCAGGTTGTTAGTCTAGTCGATGGGTCAACCACCATTATTCTTAGTAAAGGAGATGTTCATCTATCCACTAATATTACTTTGCCATTTGTTCTTCATGCTGAACATAGAAAGAGTGAGACTGTGAGAGCAACGATGAAGCCTTAGTGACAGAGACGAATGACGAAGCCATGTCCGCTCTTTCTTCTTCTTCTCTCTCTTCTCCTCTACTTTTCTCTCCCCTCTTCTCCTCTACTCCTCTCTTCTCATCTTTGTTTACTTCTTTCTCTCCGTCTAGTTCTCTTCTCTCTCTCTCTCTCTCTCTTTTTTTTTTTTTTTTTTTTGGGCTCTATTTTTTTCTCTTTTTTCTTCTTTAACACCCTCTATTTTCTCATCTACTTCTTTTGTCTCTGCCTCTCTTTTTTTTTTTTTTGGCTCTATTTTTTCTTTTCTTTTCTTGTAAACAGTTTTTTTTTTATATAGATTTATCTCTTTTTGTACTCTCTTTTGCCTTTCAAAAAAACAAATTTGTCCTATGTTTTATAGTTCTTGAATGCTTATAGAGTTGATGGATTTACTTTTTTATATTTGATATTAATTTTTAGAATATTGATATGACTTGTTAGATATGAACGCGACCTCTAGTGCCTTGGTGTGCCTTGAGCCTTTAATAACACTGCTTGGGTGTAAACCTGCTTCCACTCCAATGGATCCTAATATGAAGATCTCGTTAAGTCTAGAGATCTCCTTTATGATCCCTCGCAATATCAACGCTTGGTAGGAAGATTGAGTTCTCTTACCAACACCCGTCCTAATTTGGCTTTTGCGGTTAGTGTTGTGAGTCAGTTTATGTATGCTCCTCATACAGCTCATATGGATGCGGTATATCATATTCTTCGATTTCTTACGTCCTGGACTTGGATTATTCTATTCTTCTAGCAAGCGGGCTGGGCTTTCCTGTTTCAGTGATGAGACTATACTGGGTCCAAGACTGACAGACGTTCCACATCTGGCATTTGTACTTTCATGGAGATCATCTTATATCCTGGAAAAGTAAGAAGCAACCTGTAGTTTCGAGATCTTCAGCAAAGGCTGAGTATCGTGCCATGGCCAGGGTACGTGTGAGATTCTCTAGCTTCGATCTTTCTTGGAGGAGCTAGGGCGAAGTAAAAAACAATCCTCAGACTTGTTTTGTGATAATAAGTCAGCCATCATGCTTGATTCATATTATGTTCTTCATGAGAGGACTAAACATATAGAGGTGGACATTCATTTTATCAAAGAGAAGGTTCGTTCAGGAATTATCAAGCCGTTCTTTGTTCGGTCCTCTAATCAGTCAGCAGATGTGTTCACCAAATCCGTTGGTCCATCTTTGCTTCATTCCTCGATTACCAAGCTGAGCTTGATTGATATCTTCACTCCAGCTTGAGGGGGAGTGTTAAAATATCTGTATTATTATTTCTTTTAATTTTATTAGCTGTTTTCAGCCTTTTATTAGGTGTTTTATGTAAGATCCTGTTATCATGGGATCACGTAGATAAGATCCCTATAATCATGGGATCACGTAAATTTTGGCATATTTCCTATTTTTCTTTGATTTGGTTTCCTTTATTTGTACCCTACTCTTGCATATAAATATAGCTCTTGCCTCTCGGTTTCGGTAAGCCAAAACCCAAAACTTCTTCTTTTGTTTCCTCTAAGGAGGCTGCAAATGCAATTTAAATTGGGCTTTTAGACCAACAACGAAATTTGCCTACTGCCTTGAGAAAATATTGGTTTCCTTGTTTTACTTAAATAAGAAACAGCAGTTTATATTTATAATAGAATTTCCAATATAGACGTCAAAAAAATGGGGGCCAAGAAATATACAAAAGTTATGCAAAAGAGTCAAGAACAAAAGAATCATAAGACCAAAGAATTAAAACACTAGAGACAGTTCCACTATTTAAAATAATTAATAAATTCTAAAAGAAACCTACGTACTAATTCAGGAAAAAAAAACCTTTGTACTAAAAGCTCCACCCCTTCAAATGGTCTCATATTTCTTTCATTCTGCATGCACCATATAAATACAAATTGAAGCACCATCCCATTTATTTCTAGACCTTCAATGTGAGCAACTTCCTCCTGCAACTCCTCAAATACTAAATAAGGCTAGTAAAAGACCTCAAAACTCACTCACGACATTGCAATGCTACATATGACTGACTCAGCATCTACATTACA